CACTGCACTCCAGTCTGGGCGACGGAGTGAGACTCCAACTCAAAAAAAAGAAAAAAAAAATTAGCCAGGTATGGTGGTGTGCACCTGTAGTCCCAGCTACTCAGGAGGCTGAGGTGGAAGGATTATCTGAGCTCAGGGGGTTGAGGCGCAGTGAACCGGGATTGTGCCACTGCACTCTAGCCTGGGTGACAGAGTGAGACCCCAACTCAAAAAAAAAACGCAGAAAAAAAAGGAGTCAAATACTAGAACCTGTTACAGAATGGGTGAACCTTGACAACATCAGGCAAAGCAAAGCACACACCCCGGAAGTACTCACCCATGCCCCTCATGCGGTTCAGGCCCGAAACAGGAGAGCCGCTTCCTCCAGCTCCCACAACTGCAGGAGTGAGAAGATACAGATGGAAGGAGAAGACCCAACCGCAATAAAGCCACAGATAGAATCCAACATCCTTTTTTTCTTTTAATTTTTAAGAAAATCCACAGAACTCCCAATAAACGATATCGGTCACTGGTAATCACAGTCCCAATAAAAATCCCAGCAGGTTGATGGTGGCACTTAACAAGATGATTCTAAAATTTATTGGAAAGGGCATGTCTTCATCCATTCAGGTGGATACAACAGAATACTATAGCTTGGGTGGCTTATAAATATCAGAAATTCACTTCTCCGAGTTCTGGAGGTCTGGAAGTCCAAGGCACAGCAGATCTGGTGTCTGCTGAGGGTCTGTTTCCCGGCTTATAGACGGTGACGTCCTGCCCATGTCCTCACGTGACAGAGTGGGTGAGGCACTTCTCTGAGTTCTGCTTTTATGAGGACGATGATCCCATTTTTTTTTGAGTCGGAGTCCCACTCTGTCGCCCAGACTGGAGTGCAGCGGCCACTCCCGGCCACCGCAGCCTCGACCTGCTGGGCTCCGGCGATCCTTCCGAGTAGCTGGAATTACAGGCACGCGCTACCACGCCCGGCTGATTTTTTGATTTATTGTAGAGATGAGGTCTTGCTGCCCAGGCGGGTCTCAGACCCGCGGGCTCAGGCAATCCACTCACCTCAGCCTCCCAAAGGCGCGGGATGACAGGCTGAGCCACCGAGCGATTTTGATCCCATTCTTAAGGGCTCCACCCTTGTGACCTAATCCCCTCCCCATGGACCCACCTCCTAATACCATCACCTTAGGGGTTAGGATTCAATGTTTGAATTTTGGAAGGCCAGGAACATTCAGGCCATAGCAAATGGAGACCCCACACCGGACCAGGGGCCAACGGAAAACGATGGGAGAGAGGTGCAGTGCCTGTCGGTGGGGAAGAAGAGTTGCATGGCAGCAGTGCGGGGACAACTGCTTGTTCACCTGGAGCAAAAAGAAAACTGACCCGCCCTCCCATCATGCACAGAATCCTCCCGATGAAATCCCAGTGGTC